AATTTACACTGTTATACAAGCTGTACACTCACTACTTTACATTGTAGCAAAGTGTCATTTCTCCAGTGTTGTCACATGAAAAGATATAATAAAATATTTACAAAAATCTGAGGGGTGTACTCAATTCTGTGAGATACTGTATATATATATATATGTATATATATAGATAGATAGATTGATAGATTTTTATTTATGTATATGTATATGTTATTATTAATATAGAACTAAAGTGGTTGTTTTTTTTTTTTTCTTTTTGAGCAACTGGGATGGTGCCCCCCTGGGAGTTGGTGCCTTACACAAACTGCGCATATAGGGAGCAGCGGTACTGTGTTTCACCTTACCCTGGAGTTGGTTCACCCTTCGCTTATGCAAAGCAACCCATGTTTTAACTCTAAATATACAAATGAAGACTATTGTAAATTGTACTGTAAAATAAAAAAAATGATATGATAAAATTAGTATTTTACACTACAAGTTACAACACTAATATTTCTGCCGTAAATTCTTCACTTTCAAACATTCAAACTCTTGATATTTTATTTTGGCAAACTACTGGAGAAATGCTGATAAAAATGTTGGGAATTATATGAATGTGAAAAGAAAGCAAAGCTCACACTGCATTCCCAAATGCACTCTGAGATAATGCACCGGATCATAAGCTGCTTGCATGTGTGCTGAACATAGTGCTGCATTTCACTGAAACAAGCATTGCATCAACAATACAGTTATTTAACTGAACCACAGCGTTTGACTGATAATCACACTCATCATTATCTCGTAGTTCAATTTTTTTATCTTTCCATTCAATTCAATTCAAGTTTATTTGTATACCGCTTTTCACGATAACAACTTTTTCTAAAATTTTAGACATAAAAGGAAGATTTCAAATGGGTCTGTAATTTACCAGTTCACTAGGATCTAGTTGTGGTTTCTTAATAAGAGGCTTAATAACCGCCAGCTTGAATGGTTTTGGGACGTGACCTGAAGCCAACGACGAGTTAATAATATTGAGAAGCGGTTCTTCTGCTACAGGTAACAACTCTTTCAGTAATTTAGTGGGTACAGGATCTAACAGGCATGTTGTTGGTTTAGATGCAGTGATAAGTTTATTTAGCTCTTCCTGTCTTATAGTTGTAAAGCACTGCAGTTTATCTTTTTATAAGTTTATCAGTTTATATTTATTCAATATATTTAGTTATCAGCTTTTCATCAACTGATGAACCCCCAGGGTTTTGCGTTTGGGAAACCTGCCTTAACAGGACTACATTGCAAGGCTGTATAACTGCAACTGTCATTTTTACAGAGATTGTGTGAGAACAATACAGACATTTTTTTACTTGAACATGTTTAAAATCACAAAGTACATCTGTAAAACCCAAACTTACCTGACTTTCTTAGGCTTTAATTTGGTGGCTAAATTTAGCATTGGATCATTTATATCACAGTTAACATTAACGAATAATCCATGTGGCCTAGGTGACTTCAGCTGAAAGTCATTTTAGAGGCAGAGAAAGTTTTTACATTTTGCAGAAATATTATGAAGACAGTAAATGTTCTCTTTTAGAATAACGTGCAGGGTTAAGGGTCAGTTATGATTTGATATTGACTGTAAAATCCAGTGCTTTATACTTAATAGTGTCCAATGCCTACAGTCTCTTCACCCACCAAAAATGATCCTGTTACTAATAAGATCTTACAGTACGTTCCACATTCTGCCTTCTGTTCAGTTTTTCCAGCTATTGCCATGACTGCACCTTGGCATTCGGGCTGCGTTTTGTCTGACTAACTGTGCTCACCCTGTGATTGTGGTATGAATTAACATTTCATTTGGCACAAGTCATGGGGGGAATTCTTCAAAGGATTTATATTAGTGGAATGGCAAAGGTCTAATATTGTAGGGATATCAATTACTTAACAATTTTATGTGCGGTAAATGTACCCAGATGAGACTATCCTGTACAACAAAAAGTAATGTGCAATAACTATATGGTAAAAGGGGTGAAGAATCACTTAATACACCGAAGTACAGTATATCTTTAACATGACTGGTACCACAGCTTCATGTGCCAGTACCAATTTAATTCCAATTTTTATGTCGAAGCCAGTGACAAGGTAATCCGTACGTCTGGCTAGCAGCAGAAGGAAATGTGATCTGTCTTTGGCATAGTGCTTATTTAGATAAGACATGTGGAGTTGGTTATAGAGTCTGAGACAGAGTAACACTGCAGTAAAGCTCTTCAGACCATCAATGATAGCCAGCTCTGGCCGAGAGCCACTGCACGTGGATACTGTGACCTTACGGGTCCACAGTTGCCGCCTTAGAACAACAGCTGCTCAATCGAAGAAATAAATGTGATTGCTAAAGCAACATCTAGCCAAATAAATCGAGCAGCTATAAAAGAGCCTAACACAAATCACATGGGAACAGAATGTCCCATCAGCCAACTGTTTCAATTATACTGATGAGAAAAACGAGTGCATTATAATAGCGAGCCCATCAAACAGCATTAGTTGCAATTAATAAAACAACTGCTAGATATAACAGACCAAACTGGAAGAGTAGCTGTTTTTTCTCGTCACTTTCAACGTTTTTTTCCTTCTAGGATTATAAACTCAGGCCTGTAACAGCAACTATGCACACATTTCATGGGGCAGCGCCATGTACCGCAGTCGTCATGTTTTTTTCCAGCACATGCAATGCTGTATCTGTGACCAAAGTCTTAGAATCAACACAACAGATCGAGGGCGCTGAGACTGTTAACTGAATGACTCAAAAGGCTTGTGGTACAAGTGATACATTCGCTGACACTGTTTCTATTCAGATCATTCCATGGGAATACAAAACCCATTTTGTCATTTACAGACGTACCGTACATCTCTCTGGGCCGTGCTCATTTTATTGTTTGTTGCAGAGCATTTGTGGTTGTGCTGTTTGTGGTTTCTGATTTTCTCTAATTGGTACTATGTTGCAGTAATCTCAAGTTGCCCAGTACTTTTTCATTGGGGCCTGTGAAGAAACTGCAGCTGTTTTTGCAATGAATTTACAGCTTCATAACTACATATTCCCATTACATTACACAACATTACTTATAGTATTAAGTCAACAAATACAGTTATTAGAGCAAAAGGAAGTGCACATATAAAAGTACATTTTCTTGGAAATAAGCTGAGTGTAAGCATACTTCCTTTATGTGAAAAAGAGCAGAAAAAAAAACAAGTGGGAATTAACCTGTCTTTTATGTGGAAAGTTTTGTACGTTTGCAGCATTGTGCAACTTAAGTCAACAACTCGACCTTAACGTGTCCCTTCTTTTTGTTTTCCTAGGAGAAAAAAGTGGCTGCGTGTAGCTAGTATCAACAAATGTGGTAGCGAGGCTATCTCTGAGGGAAAGGAGTTAATGATGTGTGTTGCTGTGTTATGTGCCTGGGCTACTGAAGAGGAAAGTACTGTCTGCTTTAAGGTGTCATATGGGGATGCTCTTTGTGATTACAAAAGCTTGAACTAAAACACCCTTATATGGTATGTTCTCACTATGTGAGAACATCTGTGCTCAGGTCTGAGTGGGAAAAAAAGATTTCTCCATAACCATAATTACATGTAATTTCAAAATATATATATTTGCCATAAAAATGTTTTTATTCTGAGTTCAGTTTGAGGTGCCACTAAAGGCTAATGTGTTAAATGTATCAAATCTAGCTGCAAATCATCATAATTACTACGTACTAGTTTTCAGCAAGTTTTATATAGGCTAGAACAATAAAGAATAGTGTGTGTAAGTATATACAGACACACACACATATTTTTTTATTTGTTTGTTTGTAAATCTTCCAATTAACATTTTATATTTTGTAAGATTTAGCTCCCTGGATTAATTGTTTATGATTAATATATTCTCGTCAGATATTTCCATGTTCGTGTCCTGTCTTTCCTGTGAGTGAGTGAGTGAGTGAGTGAGTAAATAAATAGCTGCACATTATGCCATTACATTTATTTTTTCCCACAATTTTTACACTATGGGATCTGTTAAGATAGGTTTAATGAATTTATGTTTGCTTGAAGTTGTTGTTGTTGTTGTTGTTTTAGTAAAGGACACCACATAAAGTCTTTTCACCGTATTTTCTAACAAACAGCATTAAACAATAGATTAAAAGCGCCTGTTTTTGCTTCTCTGCTTTAAGCCCGACAGTCCTAGTTGATTACCGGTGCTGAGCTAAGCCTCAACGTTGGATAATTGTGCGTGCATCTATTAATCATTTAGAGTCTAATATCATCCCATATCAACGCACCTATACAATCTTATCCGTGAAAGCAGGTTACATTTGAGAACTCCACTGGAGATGATCCAGTCCCGCTTGCAGCCAGACACACAGTAGCTGAATGGACACGAGCCCGCCAGACTCATTGGGAACGACGAGATTCACGCTGTATTCATGTTCCGGGGTGCGAAACCCTCTAGTGTTGGGTTTATACAGTGCAGAGCCGCAGTTGCTGAGCGCAGTGCTGTTGAATATGAGCAGAGGGGATGGAAGACTGAAATTATAGTCGCTGTAGTTTAGCAACTAACAGGATAACTTTGTAAGTACTTTTACATTTTTAGGCAATTTGCTATAGTTGCGATTGTAATGTTGTTAGATGGTATTTAAGTAGACTATTTAAGTTTTCTTTTTTTTAAACTTAGTATTTAAATACTATTTAAATACTTTTCCCATTGGTCTTATTTATTTATTTATTGAATACATTGTATAATGTATAATCGGTGAATTATGTTGAATTAAAAGGATAACCATTTCAAATAACCCATTCGTTCACAGGGGCATTATTAAAGTATAAGGAAATTTCCTGGACAGAATTTGGAGCTACATTGTCATTTGGCACATGGCAGTTAATGAAAGCTGCGATGAACACGGCAGTCTTCAGTAAGTTTGATCAGCTGCGCTTTGAAGAGAGCGGACAGAATGTGGAGAGAACCAGCAGAAGCTATTTAGAGGTGATTGATGGACAACATTCAGATTTACTGACAAGCCACAAAGTGATAGGTGGCACTGAAGCTCTCAGACACAGGAGAAATGGGTATGTATGAGACAGACAAAATGACCGTGCATGAAACGGTCTAAATGTGACTGAATGTGATTCACTATTAGTTAATGTAGCGTAGCTACTTTCAATGGAGGCAGCCTTTTTTCCTATTCTACCTCCCCATATGTTTAAGTAAATATTCGGGAACAGTGTTGATTTATACTTTTCATATCGGAAGTATAAAAAAAATTTCACTGTTCCCTGTTGAAAAAAACAGCATATGCTGGTTTGGTTTGTTTTGAAGCATGGCAGCTGATTTGAGCTGGTTTAAGCTGGTCCTAAATTAGTCCTTAGGTCATGTGCTGGTCCTAAGCAACTAATTCCTGCTCAGAACCAGCTTAAACCAGCTCATGACCAACTAAAGACCAGCTCAAACCAGCTGCCATGCTTCAAAACATCCCTAACCAGCTTATGCTGTTTTTTTTCAACAGGGTTATCTCTGTTGTAAATGTAGTGTAACAAACCCGTTTTATTCAGCTGGCTAAAAATGAGAAGCAGAATGATGAAGATTATTGAATATTGGCAGTAAAGTGGTGGTTTGAATGTACATGGTTGTTTCTCCTTTAATTTATAGGAAAGCAGTATAGACTACTACATTACTGTATGTGAGATATGTCTTACTCTTAATTAAAGGATGCTGTCATGGGGAAATGACAGAGATGTGAACCTCAACCCCGTACAGTACAAGTAAATTCATTGGGTTATATATTTTGACCAGTCGGTACATCATATGTGTAAGGTAAAGATACAGCAGGAATGTTACACATACTTGGTCTACAGTGACATCTGCTGATTGTCTTGGTGCCGGATAGCCACATCTTCTAATTGGACGTCAACAATTTTCTTTCAACTAGTTTATTAATTTGAGCTGCAATGGTCTGCACTTTGTTTACAGTATCAGTGGCCTCTATTAACACTCATGTAAAATGTTTTGATTATGACAATACAATAATTTGTTTTTATATAGTGTGGTGAGTGGATGCTTTGTTGATGGTTTGTCAAAACTAAAGCCATGAAAAAGCAGTTGTATCTGCCATTAAAAGTCTTATTTGTCAGCTAGTTTTGCACAAAGGATTACAACGAATCCTTATAAAATCAGCAAAGTAACAGCTAGAGGGAAAAATAGATTTGTTAGGCGATAGCATCTGGCAGTAAAGATGACTAATGACATATATTCCATTAAAATTAACAATTATGCTTTAATTTATAATTAGTTGTATGCAACAAACATTGACATCTGCAAATCTGGAATATACAATTACAATTTTGCCTCTCTGTGTTGTTTTACTAATTACAACGTTGCCTCTCTGCGTTGTTTTACTTGATCAGTGGAGGGAAGGTGCGACACAAACGTCAGGCCCTGCAGGATATGGCTCGACCACTGAAGCAGTGGCTCTATAAGCACAGGGACAACCCTTACCCCACCAAGACTGAGAAGATACTGCTGGCTCTGGGCTCCCACATGACCCTTGTTCAGGTGAGGTCAGAACAAACACTGACACTGAAGGAGACTGATAATTTGATCAGATCAGGATGGGATGGTTTTAAGGGAATTCTGGGGTGGATTTGACACGTATATATTATGAAATAAAAACAGGGGTTTACAGCACTTAGAAGTATATATATGTGAAAAAAATCTGATCTTATTAGTTCTGTTAAAATATTTTTAACAAACAACATACACAGCAATGTACAATGGCATTTAAGCCACTGGTGTGTCACAACCCAAAAATGGGTAGCAGGTCTGTTCTGATATAAAACAATGCTGTCAATGTCCTGTCAAGCGTATGTCATTATAATAATTGTGCACATTGTTAGATTTAGCAGTTCATGTTTATATGAAGGATATTTGTGCTTAATTTTTTTATGATAAACAATTCTGGTATTATGATGGGTCATCCTAAAATGTTTAAAGTCAAATCTGGGTTTCAACAGTCAGTGGCATTAAAGGAAAAAGTGCATAAACATTAATTATCTTGCAGGAATGGCCATATTGGTGTTACATAATAATTTTCACGACCTGCGCCTTGTTTGGAGACCCAAATGTACACTGTAAAAAATGATTGTGATTTTAACAGTAAAAGACTGTAAAAATGCTACAGTAAAAACCTGTTAATTCATTAACAGTAAGTTTCCATATTTAGTGAATAAATGTAATTACATTTAACGTAATTTTACAGTAAAATACTGTTAAAAATACGGTTTTTAGAAGTGAAACAGAAAGTCATTGTATAATTTACAGTGAAAAACCATAAATTGACACTCCCAGAATTCCCTGCATGACACTTCATAGTTTGTTTTTGTTGTTGGAATAACATGTTTCTTCTTATTTTTTTTCTTATCAGTTGTGTACATTAGGGTTTAATCTTACATCTAATGTTGTTAAATTAATGTTTATTGCATTATTTCAGTATCATGTGTGTCACCATGATGGGGTTTAGTGTTAGTGTGAATGACACTGTGCACCTTCTATATATAAGTATTGCCCTCCTTAGCTCGTAGAAAAGCTGTTTATAATGAGCTTTGGTTCATCATGTGACTTTCTCATCACCACCAGTTTTTGGTGGTTATTAGTACATTACAATGGTTCAAAACAGATATTAGTACTTCAATGTGTTGGTTTATTAACATTACATCAGTTAATGAAATACGGTATTTTATTGTGAATTTAAGTCAAGTCTGTAAAACCTAAAATGTTGCTCCCATATTTTTTACAGTGAAGTTCTGGCAACCACAGCTGAAAATACCGGATTTTACCGTAAATGTCACAGATTTTTTTTTTACAGTGTATTAATCAGTTTCAGGCCATTTGTATTTTTGCAGTGTCTTAATTTTAACCGGATTTCAAAGACTCTGACTTGGCTAATATAAAAATACCAATTTCTTCCCTATTGTTATTCGCTTCTGTGTTTTGGATCATTGTTGTGTTGCATAAACCATCCTCTTTCAAGTTTTAGATAACAGACAGATGTACTGATTTTCTACTGTATAATTTCTTGGTACAACTTGGAATTTATCAATCCTTCTGATTGTAAACTGTCCAGGCCCAGAGACATCAAAACAGCCCCCACAATATCATATTCCCAGCATCATTTTTCACAACTGGGATGAGTTTATGGTGTTGGCATGTACAAACATATGGCTGCGTAGAACTGGCCAAAATATTCAACCTTTAACTTATCTGTCCACGAACCATTGTTCCAGTGTGGGATATTCTTTAGAACAGGCACCATACTTGGGAGATGGTGGTTCCCTCTCATTTTTAGTGTTTTTCTGATGGTAAACTTACATTACCAAGTACACTAGTAGTCTGCTGAAGCCCACTCATTGGAGTAACAATCATGTTGATTTTTTTTTCCATTTGTAAACTATCGTCCTGATTATGGATGGACGGAGGGCCAAGTCTGGACATTCTTATGCAACCATTCCAGTCTTATGAACTTCAACGGGTCTCTTTCTGAGGTGTACTGAAATCTCTTTTGATTGAGTTATATTACACATAAACAGAATCCTCTCGTGAAGAGCGGGGGACTATTGTGTTTTTGATACTGCAGAGCAGATCAGTCGAAATGCATTGAAATATCGGACTCTAGTATCCTTCAGGGTCACATACTTTTTCCATTGATGATCTTAAATGTTTAACATTTTTAGTCCAATAATTTTATGGCGCTGCAAACTGGTGCATGTGTTATTTGTTAAACAAGTCTGTATTTAATATTGTGACACAGATGGAAAATCTGATATCATTTAGAAATCACTTAAGCAGAAATCCAGAACATCTTGACATGATCCTTGGAATTTTTATTTTATTTTTTTTTAAGAATTGCCCTGTAAAGCAGGCCAGGGAATGCAGGTTTATGTATATCAAAACATAACAAAAACTACCCCCAAATCAGCCTATTATCAACTATCAGATTTCAAGATTTAAGCATTTATATTTCCTTTCGCTTATTTAATTATTATTTAATTGCAAGATTACTTTCTATCATCTGAAAAAAATGAATAAGTATAAGTAAATCTTGAAAAAGCGAATGTCACCATTGCTAAACACATTCTATTTACAGAGTAACTAGATTAATAGACACATTGCTGCAGTGGAAGCAGGCCAGGTGGGTTGCTTGAATAACATACAAGTGCATAAAAATGCATATAACACCTTTCTGATACATGTATTACATGTAATTTCTGCTGCAGACTCACTACTTCATCTGTAAATTTACTGTATGAAATGAATGCATCACTGGTGTAACGGGTAAAAAGTTTGTGACCCCTTCTATTTGGTGTCGGGGGTCATATTGGTAGGGTAGAAATATTGCATTGTAATAGATTATGTAATCAAACATAAGTTGTATGTATTCGTATGTGGGTATTATAAATAAATAAATAAAAATATAATATTTTATATAAATAAAAATAAATAAAATATTAAAATAAAAATCTAAATATGTCAAATCTTCAAACTGCAGACAAAAATCTACCACAACAGCCTAATTCTGAAGAGTGATATAGTGATGAAAAACAGCTAGCTTGACTGAAAACAAATAGACCATGTATTGCATCATTTTTTAACTGTTCATTGAAACATTATGTCAATGCAAGCAAGATAAGCCAATGATTGCGTTTGTATTTTTCAGGTCTCAAACTGGTTTGCGAATGCGAGACGTAGGCTCAAGAACACAGTTCGACAGCCTGACTTGAGCTGGGCCCTACGCATAAAACTGTACAACAAATATGTACAAGGCAATGCTGAGAGACTCAGCATCAGCAGTGATGACACGACATCAGACGGTACGGATTTAGGGCATTTACATATTCTGTAGACATTCCGATGTATTCTGGCCTTTAATGACAAAATGCATTAAATGTGCCAACACTAAAATTGTAAAAAAGTTGTAAAAAATTTTTATCTATTGGTGTTCCACAGATGGGGAGAATCCTTTACAGATTCAGGCCAGTGAATCAGACTATAACAGGCCCACGCACAAGAGCGTTATTCAGGACAGCAGAGGCAAAGGGTTGGGGCGAAGTACAGACCCCTCAGTTTGTGATGATTATGTGTCTCCACCAAAATACAAGAACAGCTTGCTAAACCGCTATCTAAATGATTCCCTTCGGCATGTAATGGCCTCGGAAAATGTTATGGACTCTCGGAAGAGGAACCACTCTGGATCGTTTAGCTCCAATGAGTTTGAGGATGATTTTCTCTCACCATCATCAGAAGCTGAGGCAAACTTCACCTACCGTACAGGTAAGAGCTGCCACAAACTTTCAAGATTCAAAAATGTAATTTAAGGAGGATATTGTCAAGAGAGCTTAAAACATTTTGATGCTTGCCACTGTGCATTTCATCAGAGGCCTTCAAAAAAGTGCTTTTGCCTTTTTTTTGGAAAATATTAGATTAAAAGAAACTATTTTAGTATGTAAGAGGTTAAAGGGATAGTTCTCCCAAAATTTTTAATTGTCATTTTTAAATTCATTTCATGTCTTTGCAAACCTGTATATCTTTCAAAAGAAATTTTTAGGCAGCATATTCACTCTGCTCTTTTTATGCACCATAAAACTGGGCGATACATCTCATGCTCTATACTTAGGGCTGTTTTCTAGGCAAAGCTATTTTATGACTTCATGGGGACTTTGAATGCACTACAGATATATGACAACTTTCACAATACTTACATGGTGTTTTTTTTTTTGGAGCATAACAATCCCTGATCACCATACTCTTTCATTGTATGGAAAAGTGCATAATTCGGCTAAACTCCTTTTTATGTTCTGCGAAAACCACAAAATCACAGATTTTGAACAACGTAGTTTGCTTTGACTGGCTTGCCAGATTTGTCAATCAATATCAAACTATCTCAACTTAACAGATGGACACACAAAAAAAAAACATAAATGGAGACAAACACAATGAAAGATTTTGTGCATCCCATTAGAATTAATAATTAAATTGAATGTAAAGCTGTGGTTTCATACAGTTTGATTAGTGAGTGGAACGTTCTTGGACTCTTAGGTTATAGGAACACCTGCTGATGCCTCATGAAAGAAAATGCATTAGTATTGCCAAAGGAGTTGAGTCTAATTCATCATTAACATAATTCCACCTCAACATTTCTAAATGTTCTACTTCTCTGTTTATTTTGTCTCTGTGCCTTTTTGGAACAGTTCCGTTTTGGGAAAATGAAGGAATGCTCTGCCTTTTTTTTTTTTTTTATGATGAAGTATGAGTCCATAAAATACACAGGTGTTCTATACAATTTATACAATAAAATAAGCATTCTAATAATGCAATCTATAACAATATTATCTGCAGTTATGAGCTACTACAGAGAACAGCTATTTTATGACAATAAGTTTTTGAAATTAAATTTTTTTTTTATTATTTCTCTTTTAGATCAAATAGGCAAGGTGAACTTTACAATTAAAAAATTAGGCTCAGTACAGTGGTGGATGTGTAAAACATGTTTAGCTGTTTACAAAAGTTGCCATTTTTCACAACATTTGAAACATTAGTTAAATTTACTTTTTGATGTGGCCTGTTCAGAAGAACTAGAAAAGATTTTCTGTAATGCATCTGTCTAGATTTTTGCAAAACATGAAAAGGATATTAATACTGATAGAAAGATACAAAGAGCAACATCTCATTTAAAGACTGCCCTATGTTGTACATAAAAAGAGACGGAGAATGTCCAAGCTGTCCTTTTCCATACAATGAAAAAATGACCAGTGGCTGTCAAACTCCAAAAAATACAAAATAAAAAGTTAAATTAAAAAAAGGCCAATGTCAATGCCAAAATCCATGCCAAATGTCACTGAATTTGTGTGTATCTGATTGCACAAAAGAGATTTAAGATTTGTTTTTTTTGAGCTTGACAGCCCCTGACACCATTAATTCATTTATTTCATTTTACATGCTGTGTGACAATCCTGCCCTGATATTTCCTTATGTGTCCAATGGGGGGAGAGTCAAAAAATACAGTTCAGTAATTTGGTAGTTATCATCAGTAAAGGGTCTTGGTAGTTATTTGGGTATTTCAACTAAGCTTGCTCCTAACTTGACATAATAAATGTATAAAGTAACAAAAAAACTGTTCACTCAAAGTCACTGTAAAAAGAGAGGCTGTCAGGAATGTTTCCTACAAATGAAGAAAACAGTTGGCAACTGTTACATTTTTGGTGCTTGTAGAATTGTTCCATTGTGATGCTGTCATTGCAATCAAAAATTTGATTAGCTGAAAATATTTACTTCATTGATTTTTCATGTGGTTACAACAAATCGGTTAATGCTGAAATGTCATTGTTTCATTGAAGCGTGCCTGTGACTTTGAGACACACCTTACAGTTTCCTTAGATGGAAAACTACTTGTTTTCCACAAAAATAGCATGAAACATGGGCAGCGCGCCGACATACAGCGCCATTGCGCTTCGGGTGTCCTCTCTCTTTCTCTCACCCACTTCACTTCCTGTCGACCTATACTGTCCTATCTAAATAAAGGCATAAAACGCCATAAATAAACCTTTAAAAAAAAAAAAGAATGAGCTACTGATAGCTGTGAGAATGGTGCTCAAATGCTTGTGATAGAATTTTAAAGGAGATGAGGGAACATTTACAAGTCTTTTGGCCACTATGAGTCACACAGAGGCATCCCCACAAGGCAGATAGTTCAGTTTTGACAAGAAAAATAAATAAATAAAAATAATAATAATAATAATAATAAAAAGAAGAGGTAATAAAATATGCTGACTCATTTTTATTGTGTGAAAATTAGCAATAGTGGGCTTGTTTATATCTTTTTAGTTGGAGTTGCAATGAAATTGAAAAGTCAAATTGAAAGTACTGATCCTCATTATTTCTTAATGCATGTTCCTGGTCTTATTATGAATGGTTTGTGGTCTATTTGTCTCTTTAAGCCTTATTTAAAATGTAATAACGTGATCTTTCGTCTGTCCAACTTTTCAGCAGACATCACTTGGGCCACTTAGGCTATTGAATCACGTTAACTAAGGGGGCGTTTACACAACACTGTTTTCAACTAAAACTGAAAACGTTTTATGCATTTTGGCCATTCATTTACATGACAGCAGCATTTTGAGGATGTGAAAATGCAAACTTTTAAAAACGTGTTTCAAAGTGCAAGTTTTTGAATTCAGTACATATAATCTTCATGTAAACTACGAAAATGTGAATTCGTGAAAATGTGAGTGCCATGTGAATCCGTATTACATGTTTGTGTAGTGTTTCTTTACAAAGTGACATAGCCAATTACTGACCTAGCATGCATAATATAGCATATAGTCAGTTATTTTTGTTGATCCGTATGAGTGAGGATTGTTTTGACAGCATTGTCGTCTGTATGTAACCCCTCTCTCCCGTCTCTTGAGATCAGGGGAGTGAGGTTTTACCTGCACAGCACCTACTCGCTGGCCTCCGTTACACTCACCCCCCTAAACCTCACTCCCATCCGGGTTACGGCACCAATGTAACCCCTCTCTCCCGAGTCCTCACCGCCACACCATACAACATCTCTTCATTTCCATATCACCAAAAGTTAAGTTCCCTCCCCTACTAGTTGTCATGGTTTTACCCAACACCAGAAAAAGGGGAGCTGTAGTCCTGCACCCTCCTTGGAAGAGTCACAGGAACAGGATATGGTGAGTAGACAGCATGTAAGCTAACTATTCACAGTATTGAAACAGACACGCCATGCTGGTTTCGTCTCCTCACCGCCACACCTCGTTCTTGTTCCGAGTGGGTCTCCGGCATGGGTGGCGGACGCACTAACAAGGAGGCTAAAGACTGCAGCCTCTAGCCTCAGTCGCTAGTGTGTCTCTTGGGATCAGGGGAGTGAGGTTTTACCTGCACAGCACCTACTCGCTGGCCTCCATTACATGTACACAAAAAAAACGCAAAGGAAAATGTTCAGCACATCGTTGTCTTGTAAGCGTACCCTAAGAGCAAGACTCGGGCAGGCACTATTTCTGCATTCATACAGGCTTTTGCATTTAATCCAATCAACTTTTTTTTCTCATTGAATATCCTGTTTTACTTGAAAATATATCACATTACAGAAGTAAAATGGGTTTTGAACAGCTATTCATATCAACTTTAAATGTTAGACTGTGGAATTTTCCAGAATAAAACCACCATGTGGCACATGCTAGTTACAGATTACCTTGCCACATATCCTAAATATTTTGGAATTTTAGAAGATTTATTTTTTTTTCCAGTCAAAATTTAATTCAAACATTTGTTAAGAAAACACAGCACAGTTTTATCTATCTTTTTTCTATATTTGTTTTATATGATCTCAGTTTATTGCTAATGGGGGGGGGGGGGGGGTCAAGTGACTTTACAGGTCAAGTCAATCCAAATCATCTGTGGAAAATAGAAGAGAAGTTAAAAAGATGAGAGACATTCAGTAGCACAAAGGAACCAGAGCCAAATGATGTATTAATGGTTTATAGTAGTTCTTGGCACAAATACTGTTTAAGAAATCCGAGTTGGAGATGTTTTAAGGAAAGAATATTGAAAATAGCATTTTGTGTGCTCATGCCTGTCGTCCAATTTTGCCTCTCATAACTCCCATAAGAGAGATTTTTCGTTTCTGATCTCGATGCTTTCAGCAGAAAAAAAAGAGGCAGCTTTACTATTAACACAATTTATATAGATCTACGAAACAAAGGACGATATTTAAACCCATTCCAAAAGATGACTGTGAAAATAAATGTATAATGTCCATGAATGTTTAATGGATGGATTTCAATTTGTTGGAGCTGTCCTTCCTCATCTAACCAAACATGATGTTTCCTGTCATTCATTTCACACTGCTGGCAATATCAAATAGTGTGAAAGCTTTCATCTTGTGAAGACAGCATATTAACTTATATGATTTAATTTACAAACTTTAAATGCTAGTTAGTTGCTTAGTCAATATTACAATATTCTGTCTTCATTTGCTCACCCTTATGTTGCTCCAAACCCATATTTCTGTCTTCCATATTTCACAAAAGGAGAAATTTTGAAGAATGCACCAGTCATTCTGTTTCAGTCACAAAGCACAGGAATGGAGCTTTCAAGCTTCAAAAAGAACTCAAAAGAGCCATTCAAGTGTGATAAAAGTAGTCCATGCTAATCATTAGATATATATTCTGAGTCTTTTGAAGCTTTATGTGAAGAACAGATCGAAATGTGTTTTAACATCCTTGGCGCTTTGAGAGCACATGAGAGAAATAGTGCTTTCTGAATAATGAGTCCTAAACAGATTGTTCATCTGAGTCAGATCTTTTTAATTAACCAGTTAATCTGCTCCATAAAACTAAATCATTCACAAATATGCCTTTAGAAGACATAGAACATAGAGCACAAGTTGTATGAACTACTTTTATGATGCTGCTTTTGCATTCTTTTTGGAGCTTAAAATCTTCTGCGATTGCATGGACAAAATGTCTCCTTTTGTATTCCAGAGAAGAAAGAAAGTCACATGGGACTGGAACGACATGAGGGTGAGTAAATGATGATAAAGTTTTCAAGTTGGGTGAACTGTTTCTTTAACGCAACGTCACTACCATTTAAAAAGTCTTTAGTCAAAGGAAAAGGTGTAATAATTTTAAAAATGCAAATCAGTTGCAGAGTGGTGGAACAACGTGTCTGTTTCTGACACAGACCAGATATGCTTTTTCCATCTCGAGAGTGCAGGGGAAGCATAATTGCATTTGTTTTGGCTGGAGCGCATGAATGTGGCTGTAGGCACAGCCTGCAGAGCTACACTTAAATCTCCCTGAGCTCGACAAACACCCACTTACTCACCCATGTACATACATGCACATGTGAAAACATGTTTACTCATCAGTTCCATCAATATGGGGAGAGTAGCTCAGGGATATTTCATTAGCAGCATAAATGATGTGCCAGCTTTTGGCCAAGTAGCTTTTGTGGCTACTCTAAAATCTGGTTTGAACATCCAGATTATAACTCATTTCATCAAACTGTATTTTTTCAGTGACGTTGGACTGTGGCACAAGCCAAAGCGAGAGGTAAGAATGCTGTTGCCTAATGAATCACAAGGTTTTTAAGCACTGCTAAAAACTCCCCATTAACCATTTCCTCTCCATTTGGCAACAGAGGTGCTTGTAAAGGCGGCGGAGGAGGAAATAACGAGACTTACTGGAAAGAGCTCCATGCCGCCATGGCCCTAACCAACCTGGCCCGAGGGAAGGAGAGCTCAACGCCGGGCACCACCAGCTGTATCATCCAGAAGTCTTCCCATATAGCAGAGATTAAGACTGTCAAAGTGCCCATACAACCCCGACATTAGTGGCTAACAGACTGGACAGGGGTCTGTTACTAGGTCATAATTGCTAAAAGACTACCTGAACACTTTAGTATGTACTACATGCAATAATTTTGTTGAAAATGATCCACAACAGCCTTTTCTGGGGAAAAAAATACATGTTGATTGACCAATGTGCCTATTTTTTCTCTTTTTTAAAAAAAGAGAAAATTTTCTATTTTTTTTACCACTGTCTGATGAAAAAATGACATAGTAAATAAAGTTTGATGTGTGGACGATCACTACCACTAAACACAGAAGCACAAAAAAATTCTCATTCTGATTTATACATTTCTGAAATACAATTTAAATAATTTACAGGTTAAGATAAAAAATATTTTTTTGTCAGTGGCTAAAATGTAATATATTCATATATGTATTCATTTTTTCTAAGTTATGCTAATTTTATTTTATTTTGAATTGACACAGGATTATTGTCATCCTATGGCAATGGCATATACATGTGGATTCTTGTGTTTAAGTATGGCATATAGAGGAAGTTTCTATTTCTTTTTTATACTCTATCTATGAGTGAAGCAACCATTTTTTGGAACAAACCTTGGTTTGTTATTGGATAGCTTTTAATTTCATTTGGGTCATTGCCTGTGAAGATTATCGTGCAAAATACAGTCAGATGAGAGCAAATAAAGTTTTTTAAAGTTGTGCTTTGATCAAATTTGCTCCTCTCATTCCCTCAAGGTAAAAAATAGAAAAAGTACTTGTGAGATCAAATTTAAAATAAGAAATACAGTCACATTGTGGGATGCATAATCACACTGTGTTATATAAAGTTACAGTTATCAGAAATAAACTTGTGAATGCATGATATAGTCGCAACTACAAGAAATAAAGTTGCACTTGCAAGATATTCTGTCAAGTCACAGTTGTGCATATACTGTAAAGTCACAGATACAGGAAACAAAGCTACAACTGTAAGATAGAATGTGAGAAACAAAATCGCAGTTGCAAGATATAAAGTCACTCTTGGCAGATATGAAGCCGTGTTATTTTAGTATTATTTATATAGTGTTATAGTCTCTGTTTTTGTTATTTTATTAGTTGTTTTTTATATTTTTATTTTGCTTGAATTCATTTTTAATTTCAGATTGAGTTTTGGTAATTTTAGTACTTAAACCTAAGCAATATTAGGCATGTACTATTTATGTTTTTTTTATTTCAGCTTTATTTAAATGGACAAAAACTATATTAATATTTTTTAATTTTAGTTAAAAATAACAATATTGAGTCATCATCATTAATAGAAATACGTAAAAATGACCTTTTAATTATTATTATTTATTTATCTTTTTTCTCTCTCTAAGGCAGAAATGGACCTCTATAATTTTCATCTCATCCAGTGTGGAATTTAAAGGGTCGGAGACACATTTGGGTAAAGGCAACTAAAACACCAATCTGATAAAGAAAAAGCTCTACCCATGTCAAAGCAATTACCCTTGACATCTGCACAGAGCTCAGCTGCTTGTACAATGCCATATTGGACAAGCATTTGCATTTCAGTTATGTACCTGATAGGTCTTCTAGATAAGCTGTTTGAACAGTCAGATATGTTTCAGTCTTGCTGGATGCTTTAAAACGGTTCAGCCCACAGTAAGAATTTGGAATTGAACATACAGGACGGTCTACCCTACAGTATATCTCCTTACAGTCCTGACCACATGCGCTATGTTTTGCTCTCAAGTCTTCTTTCTCCCCACCCATGCTTCAAGGAAGACTAAAACATAATATTCACCATTCTTACTCTCATCTAGAATCATTCAGTGATCAACTGCACCCGCTGTATAAAGAGCCCAATACAAATAGTAAAACACCTCTAAATGAAATGGAGAACTAGCAAAAAAAAGTGTAACATTGGTGGAAATATGTTGATTTTGATGGTTTCAGTTCCATACTTATATATGGAACTTTATATATATATATATAAGTTTAATTCAGAGCTTATACCACATTAAAAGTAGAATCTGATTGCTTGCAGAGCTCCCTTTGCCAGTGTATTGTACAGTTGCCTGGAAAGTGAACTTATCAGACAGATCTTATCGGACACATAAAATCAAAATAACAATTAGAAATGACTTACTGTATGTATACGAAATTATTTAAAGCCATTTCTTTGTAAAACTGAGGTTTGTCAAAAGTTTACAGATTGTGGTGTGGCTGTATTGAAGGCATTATCAGAAATTTCGACAGTAATTTAGAAGATCTCTCCAAAGTTCTCTTTCCAGGCAACTGTACAATGCAGTAGCTAACTAAGGAGATCTGCAAGCAACCAGATTCCACTCTTTAATGTGGCATGAGAGCTTATTTATAACCAATTATATCTGATTTACTTGTGATTTTATTTCACACCCTCCAAAGAGTTGTTCTGTACAAAATATGTCTAGCGGATAAGAAAACAGCTTACAAAGAAAAACCTACTGTCAAGTTATCTTATACAACAGTTAGTTTCATTCCACGAATTCAACCAGTTCTCCTCTGGCCAAATGAGTCTAGCCTATTGATTCCAGGCTGCATCACAAGTCAGATATGTTGATGCGACATGCTGGCACTTGGTGGAGAGGAAGAGTTCTATCCAGCAGGTTAATGCATTAAAATTTGGCCCTTCCAAAAGAGTAGAAATCAGTGGTTAAGTTGTATTTACAACACTGTTACAGAACAGTTCAACCTAAATATTCAGATATGTGCAACGCATTTTATGGAGGACTGTTTCCTGATACTGGGAGAGTAGACTACAATGCCGGCTGTTCTGACTCAGTCTGTAAGTACGTTTTCATTTTTAAAGGATTTGCCACTGATGATTCAAACACGAGTTTTGAGCAGTGTAGAGTAGCGCTTGTTGTTTGTAATTTCTCCAATCACAAATGCAGACATGGTTTTATGTTTACGCGGCACGATGCAATGCAACGCGTAAAAAGACAGTATAAGTCATTAGAATCCGTAATTATGTCCCCACTGGATGCAACAAATGCCTTGTTTATAATGGGTTTTAATGTTTTTGTCTCGTCGCTCCGGCCTGGACAAGGCATCACTATATGGTAAGGGGCGTAACATTTCCGTCACACGCTTGAGGTATACACAAAATAATGTTATTTTTAGCAACATCATATGACCCCTTTAGGTCAGAGCTGCCATTTAGCCAGCAGTAAAGACGGCTGACTTATCAGTGGTCTGTGAGATGGACTCGTCATGTTGTTGACGTCTTGGCTCGAATGATCCAACTGAGCTCAAGCTGAATATAATTTCGAGTGGATTGGAAGGTGTGGTGAAGACCTGAAATAGTCCAACCAACAGGAAAGAAATTAACCATGTAAGTGCTTGAATCAAAAATTCTTATATGAATGTATTTCATAAATCTTATGAATGTAAGATTTATATCTTATGCCTTACAAACTAGTAAGTGGGGAAGGCTGAATATTTGGCTAAAAAAGCTCTTCTGACATATGTCAGCTTAGTAACTGGCAACATTGTGTCTAAAATGTCTCACTCAATCTTAACTTCATTGCACTGTTGCATAAAAGCATTAATCACACTCACAATCATGCTGGCATAAATACATTTAAAGCAACAACAGCACTGCATGCCTCGTACACACCGGGACGATTATCGCAGGTTTCGGACACCACTAAAAATGGCTGTTCCCTCAAATAGTACCCTATTTGAAAGTGAAGTGAAGTGAAAGCGACGTGTGGCCAAGTATGGTGACCCATACTCGGAATTAGTGCTCTGCATTTATCCCATCCAAAGTGCACACACACAGCAGTGAACACACACACACACCGTGAACACACACCCGGAGCAGTGGGCACTGGGCAGCCATTTTTTTTTTTTGCTGCGGCGACCGGGGAGCAGTTGGGGGTTCGGTGCCTTGCTCAAGGGCACCTCAGTCGTGGTACTGAAGGTGGGAGAGAGCGCTGTACATTCACTCCCCCCACCTACAATCCCTGCCGGTACGAGACTCGACCTTTGGGTTACGAGTCCGACTCTCTAACCATTAGGCCACGACTTCACGACGATTTAAGGGTATAGGGGGCGATTTCGGACACAGCCCTGGTCTACTTACTTCCTCTTCGTCGTTAGGTGTGCTCGGCAAGACCGTTTTGTGCTTGAGCGCCACCAAGTCGTGTTTTACTGTAACTTCAGCAGCTCCAGGCACGTGAACAAAAGCGCCAATCTCATTGGTCGGCCAGTTTTTAACGCGGCGCGTCAAACCAAAAAAACGAGCCCGAGGCGCCTTTTTAAAAATGACGCTTTTACGCCTCGCGTTTTGCGCGTCGGTGTGCACACTCACATTGGCGCCCTTTTAGTCACGAGGCGTTAAACGTCGGCGATAATCGCGCGCGATATTCGTCCCGGTGTGAACAAGCCTTAAGACTTTACGTTTTTATAGCCAGCAAGTAGAGTTAACCAGAGCTAATGTTTCAATGAAATGAGAGAATGATGTCTATTAGACCTACAATTTCAATGTGATATGAGGTGCCACGTATCAGTTTGAAAACTCATGACATTTGTAGTGATTAATATTCATGTATGTAGTGTACAGTATAGAAATGTTTCACAGTATATGGCCTGTTAAAACTAATACAGAGCTGTAGTTATCAATTTCAAAACATCTATATGCCCATCTGGAGTTCATTTACTAGAAATGATACTAATAATTAAGATATAATTTTGAACAGACATTCACATAAACTTTAACAAAAGGCACTATGCTGTGACAGATCAAACACTTCTACAAGTTAGATATTTTAATGCAAAAATAATATAAGATATATAATTTCTCCTAATTTTCCACTCCATAGCAGAAAACGGCATACAGACTAGAAGAACATCGCTGCTGAAGGACAACAGCCAAAATGAAAGCAAGCATCTACAAAACTGAGTATGTGAATTTAACACCCATAAATTGTAAGGAATCCTAATTAGGGTGCTGGTTAGTGTATGGTTTTGCGGCTACATGAAGTCATAAGCAATTACTTCTATGACTGAATAAATCTCTCTGCACCAGAACAAACACATCTATTAAGGGGATAAAAAGTCAAACATATTAATACTCAAACTTTATGACCAAGACATTTTAATAATTCAATTAAATGACCATTTAACCCATGTAC